AATGCAGAACTTGAAACTGCACCTAGCAGTGACACCATGAGATCCAAGTGCGGCACCAGCATCGCCACTGCGTCTAAAACAAGATGGACCGCGTGCGCAGGGATCAAGACATGAAAAACCTTAGGATAGTGTCTGCTGCGTGAGATTATGTTCACTCATACAATATTCCGCTCACTTGCAGACCAAACACAAAAGAGATGATCACTTATCAGTGCTAAACTTTGGGAACATCTGAATAATTTATGTAAGGCAATGTAGGTAAACATCTCACCAAGATCGTATGAGAGATAAAAACAGCCTTATGAGCGATACTGAGAGCGGTATGGATACTAAAACGCCTTCCAGAACAATGGACTAATAAGAGACTCATTCATCGTCCAAAATTGTGGAAAATTTTCCAACGGGAAATCCTCATTAGATTTACCAAACTTCTTGGTTTTGAGTAAACCTAATGAATGGAAACTAGTCACTTAAATATCAGCACTGTTACCACATCGATGGAAGGAGCAAAAAACAGGCTCCACCCAAATAACTAGCAATTCCATTTTTGTTCCATGGGTATCACGCATAAACATTTGTTGCAGTTGACAGAGGGCGTAGCGGCTTTCAGTGAGTGTTCTTTAAATGGCTTTAACTTTGCTTAACTAATCTTAGTTTCTACCTAGTGGTGGGGACTTAGAATAATGCCTCTGTAGCTTCTAAATGGCAGCAATTACCCACGTAGCTAATAATAAGTTTACAGTCAAGCTCATTGATTCCATGCACGGCCCTACAAATGAATTGAATGCTAAATGCACCTAGGTACAAAAACTTAAAATAAGATCTATTCAAATAAAATTAAGTAGAAACGCACAAGTGCAAAGGATTAGGAACATCCGCATCATTTTGCGACAGACGGATTGTCGATGTGGTGAGGTCTCACGATGCCCCCGAAATTTAAGTAACAAACGACCAAAGATGGTGGCAGGGACGTAGAATTGCAGGATGTAGGAGAGGAAGATAGCGCAGATGAACAGGGGTTTCACCGCAGCATAGATACTACAGGGTGTAGGCAAACAGATGGTTAGCCATTGAAGACAGTTAAACAAAAAAGCAAAAAGGTTTACGCACGGAGGTGAATTAGGAATGTTGTAGGTGATGCTCCCAAGGATGGCATCGCCGAAACGAAGGTAACCGAAGAAACCAATGGTGAGACAAAGGCAGGTATTGATTACCATCGTAGTATTGAGTACTCCGAAAGGCATCACGAAGCGCTCCGGATCCTGCATCCGGTTCTGAATAGGCAGAGTCTATAAAACGAACTCAAAGTTTAAGTAGTCGGAAGAGGTGCTGTTCACAATTGGACAAACGGTTTCAAGCTAGAACCCAGTGGCTACGATGAGGAGTCAGACGTTCTTAGCCATCTGTCCCCATTTCAATGCCATAAAGGCGTGGAAGAGTAGTTGAAAAAGTCTCTGGAGAACAGCCGAAACAGGCTTTGGCCAAATGTTAGCTTCATTTCCTATCATTGAGCGCAACACAATCTACCCATTTCTAGACTTATTACTGACAGCAGCCTAAATTATTGAACCTTTGGAAAGATTAAAGTTATTTAAAGATGAAAACGATGACAAAATTTTGACTTCATATGAGGGTGCTAGAACAGTTAATCGGTCCATAAAAACAAGAATTAGTCGACCTAGGATTCGGTGATCAAAGAGCATTCTCAACGGTTATCATACCACACTTCCTGTGTAAAAGAGGATATTGCTGCAAAAAATCAGGGAAATTGTACACAAGCACAAGATTGATGGCAGTCCTAATAAGCAGGTTTCAGGCTGAAGCACAATAAAACGCGGATCGTCGGATGATTCCGAGTTTTGGATTGAACGTTGAAAAAGAAAAGATGACTCCAAATCACCTTAGTGGAATAGCAGCTAAATGAGTTCAGATATGCATTGTAAAAAAAATTTTTAAGGGCGATTGGAACAGATCGGTCCCACAAACCGTTCAAATGCACCAAGGTTGTGTCTTATGAATTTTAACCCGGAATGTGAGCAAGAAACATCGTAGCGACCAAATACAAAGCCTTCTCCATAGTTCGAAGGCATCTAACCGC